GGTCAGAATGGACTCCAGGCAGTGGGTGTGGTTTGGGCTTTGCTTCCCTGAAGACTGACAGCCTTGGAGGCCCTGTGGGCAGTTCCACTCTGTCCTCTAGGGGCGCTGGGGGTCAGAATGGACTCCATGGCAGTGGGTGTGGGTTTGTCACTGAGGTTTTCTGCATGTTGGCCCATGATTGTTTTCATTGGCCTATAATGACGTCTTCATGACCCTTCTTGCTACTGAGAATACTTCTTTATCTTTTCATTGTATCCTGGGCATTGTGAATGTTGTTATAGGACTGCCACTTTTGTTGACCTTTAAAAGAACCAACTTTTGGCTTTCTTTTTGTTTAATTTGTTGTGTTGTATGTCTCTGCTCCACGTCATAAATGTTTCTCATTGGCTCTTTCTTCGTCTTTGCTTTGTGGTCACATTGGCGAGCACAGTTTCCGGGTTGACATCCGTCACGTGTCCAGGGGCCCGTCAGTCACCCTCGCGTGCAGCCATCACCCACCTCCGTCGCCGGGTCGCCCCTCACCACAGACAGACGCTCGCTGCTTCCCAGACAGTGTTCTCGCCCTTCCCTCCCGCCCTGCTGACCCTGACCCACTGGGCTCCGCTTTCTCCTGTGCTGGTGCGGTCACGTGGGAGCCTCCGTAACTCGTCCTCCCGGGACAGGCTCCCTGACCCTCTGCCCTCCTGACCCTCTGTCCTCCGCCCCTGCGCCCGCTCTGCTGGGCGTCCCTGTCCTTCCCGGCCCGCTGACCTGAGGCCTGGCATCCACATGCTTCCTGCGGGAAGAACCTCATGACACTTTCTGATTCACTAATTCCCCAGCCGTCTCATCCGCGGCCATCCCGTATTCTTGCCTGTGGTTTCCGTGCTTGTTTGGCAGCAGTTCCCCTTGCGTCTTTTCCTTTCTTTTGTTACTGTTTCCAGTTCTCTGCCGACTCTCCTGCCTGCCTTGCAGCTGCGGGCGCTCACAGATGGGGTTCCTCCTGTCTGATTCCTGGCCTCTGCCCTAGTGCGTAAGGAGCTCTGGCAGGTCACGGATAAGTGCTTGCCTTCTGACTGAAAGGCTGATGGTTCAAACTCACCCAGTGGCTTGGGGAGAAAGACGTGGCTGTCTGCTTCCTTGAAGACTCCAGTCTAGGAAACCCCAGGGGCCAGTTTGGCTGTCGTGGGGTCGCTGTGGGTTGGAACTGACTTAACAATACCTGATAAGGACACCACAGTGTGTAGCCTCTGACGGGTCCAGGTGACGACGTTCACAGCTCCTTCCAGGTCAGCCGCTGGCGTAGAGTCTTGCCCAATGGGAAGCCTGTTTCCTGGGCACGGCCCCCTTCGCTGCTGTAGCACCCAGTACACTTTCTAACCATCGGCTGCGTGTGTCTGTCCCACCTCGAACGCCAGGCTCGCCGCCCAGAAGCCGCACTTTGCTCCGACTTGGTGGGAATCTCTGGCCCCCGGGACAGGGTCTGCCTCTGGGCAGCTCCTGCAAACCCACCTGAGGGCCCGTGCCCATGGCTCAGCCAGCTGCCTTTTTAAAAGAACCGTGGGGACAGTGCACAGCAGGCACCCTCCGGTTGCAGCTTGCACACGCACCATCAGCGGCGACTGTCCCGCAGCTGCGAGGCCTCCCTTCCTCACCCTTCCAGGCCTTTCCAGCCCCGTGCGCACGGACTCTCTGCCCCACAGGGACTCTCCTCCCTCCCTCCTCCCACCCCGGGCACCACTAGTACTGTTTGGTTTCTGTACATTTGCTTAACAAGCCCTGACGGCATGAGGGCTGAGGGCTCAGCTGTCAACCAGAAGCTTCGAACCACCCAGAGGCTCTGAGGAGCTCTGGTGGCGTAATGACCTGAAGGTCAGTGGTTCAAACCCACCAGCCACCCTGCGGAAGGCAGATAGGGGTGATGGACTTCCATAAAGATTTATAGCCTTGGAAACCCAATGGGGTCACTATGACTCAGATACGACTCGGTGGTGGTGAGTTTTTGTTTTTTTTAAGAGGCTCCATGGGAGAAGACCCGGTGACCTGGTACCAAAAAGATTCCAGCCCAGGACACCCCAGGGCAGTTTTGCCGTGTCACGTGGGGCCACTGTGGGCAGGAGTCTGCTCCACAGCCCCTAAGGAGGTGCATGCTCATTTCACCTACGCCAGGCCTAACTGTTTGTCACCTGGTAGCTGCATGATGGGCTGTTGTGCCTCTTGTCTCCTGGACTGGGAGCCAGCTGGTCCCTTCCAGCTGCCAGTGTTTGCAGGAGACTGTCACCGTTTTTAGCCTTGGGTCTGTCACCTGCACAGTGGACAGTGATCTTACCCACCTGGGACCCTCAGGAAGGCTCAAACAGCGTCACCTCAGGGTCTGCACGGGACTCGGCGGGAGGACGCACTCACGGCTCTGTGGTCTGGTTCATCCCACAGGGTTTGACGGGAAAGATCATGCTGCGAAGCAGGAGACCACCGGCAGCAGCCTCCCGGCCCCTCCTCAGCTGCCTCTGCCCGAGATCCCTCAGCCCTGGCTGGTGAGTCCCACCCCCGTGCTCACAGGAGGGTGAAGCCTGGCCCCCCTCGGCTGCAGGAGTGTGCAAGGGAAGTGCATGTCTGGGGGAATGCAGGCCATAGCTTGTCCGGGGCACTCCCTCGAGCATCTTTTTGGGGACCTAGGAGCTCTGGTGGTAAAAGCATTGGGCTGCTAACCAAAAGGTTGGCAGTTCAAACCCACCAGCCACTCTGTGGTAGAAAGATAAAGCAGTCTGCTTCCGTGAAGACTGACAGCCTTGGAGACCCTGTGGGCAGTGCCACTCTGTCCTCTAGGGGCACTGTGGGTCGGAATGGACTCCACGGCAGTGGGTGTGGTTTGGGCTTTGCTTCCCTGAAGACTGACAGCCTTAGAGACCCCATGGGTATTGCTAGGAGTCACCTCAGTGACAGTCAGTTTGGTTTGGTTTGTTTTGGGCTGACAACAAGGTCCTGGGCTGACAGCAGGAACCTGGGCTGACAATGGCGTCTAGGCAGGCTGAAGGAGCCCTAGTGGTGGAGTTTTTAGTGCTCGGTCGCTATCCAAAAGGTCAGTGCTAACCCACCAGCTGCTCCATGGGAGAAAGATGAGGCAGTTGGCTTCTATGAAGATTGACAGCCTGGGAGACCCTGTGGGCAGTTCCACTCTGTCCTCTAGGGGCGCTGTGGGTCAGAATGGACTCCAGGAAGTGGGCATGGTTTGGTAGGTCGTCTGATGGTGCTCCTAGGTGGCATAAATGACTAAGAGCTTAGCTGCTAGCTAAGCATCAGGGGTTCGTGTCTGCCCAGAGGCACCTGAGGAGAAAGCCCAGGTGATCTATTTTTGAAAAGTCAGCTGCTGAAACTGCCTGGAGCCCAGGCCTATTCTGACAGGCGGGGCTCTGTGAGTTGGATCGACCCCGTGGCATCTGGTACCACTCGCATCCAGAGAAACCCTAGGGGAGCACCAAGCCTTTCCTCCCAGTGCCTCTGGGTGGACGTGGGTCACCAGCCTCTTGTCTCAGAGCTGTGCCCATGAGCCGTGTGCTAGCTGTCATACCACCGTGATCTCAGCCACGGATGTGTAACCCCCGCTGGGGATCTTGTTAAGATGCACATTCCAGTCCCCAGGGTCCAGGCGGGTCCTTACATCCTGGGCCTCTAACCAGCTCCCTGTAGAAACACAGAGAACCCTAAGCCCAAGGCCAGAAAATCCACCCGTCAGCCGCTGTCTTCTCCGGGGACAACCCTGCCATCACTGAGGCATGCTTTCCTCTGGTCTGTGCCCTGGGCCACGCCGTCCACCACACAGGCCACTAGCCTCAAGCGGCCACCACGTGCTTGCGGCGGGAATGTGTTACAGGTTTAAAACACTGGATTGTGAAGACTTAGTGTGAACAAAACGGGTGTGAGTGTCTGAGCGAGACTTGTTATGTGGGGTTTTCCATTCAACAGCTGTATCCATCTTTGTCCCGTGGGGTTGACCGCAGCCCCACAGTGTGACAGCTCTCTTTCCACTCCCTCCCGGTGTGCCCCGTTTTCTTCATCCTTCTTTCGCACTCCTTCCTGCCTTCTGGGCTTTCTCATGGGGCTAGTGTTGCCCGTCGCCCTCGTGCGGTTGATTGTGAGGAGAGGTGCGGGGTCCACCCCTTTCTGCTGTGACCATTCACCTGGCGTGCTTCTCTGTGCGCTCTCTGCACGTTGAGCAAAC